CTTGGCCAGCAGGCATCATGTCCTGTTTCCCCAGTTTATAGTGGGAATTACACGAAGCAATACATGGTAGAAACACGTATACAATAGCTCTTGGAAGATAGTAAACTCTCAATAAATAATAACTCACTTATGTTTTCTCCAGAATCCACATTTTCTTTCCTTTAAGATGGACTTAATAAAAACGTGGTTTAGAGAGGAGAAAGAAGAATACCAAGAAATAATGGATAAATAAACATCAACAGTGGACTATTGGATATATGCAATGGATGCAACAAAGCATTAGACGCAGGGGCTTGGACCATGGAAAAGAGATGGGAAACTCAATTTCTCCTCTCAGAGGTGTAACGCCGTGGAAACACAAGTAGGAGAGACATAGTGATGAGGCGAAACTAGAACTTGGCTCACATGAGGAATGGGGTTCCTTTTCAGCCGTGCTGTTGTGATAGATGGTCTTGAAAAATGTCCACCATTAGGTTCTTCCCTCTTATGCTGCTCCGTACATGAATACGGATCTTCGTCCTTTCCTCTTAAATCTAGACTGCACTTGTGATTTACTTTGACCAATAGGATGTGGCAGAAGTGACAGGTCCGGGCCTAGCCTTTAAAAGGATGGTGGCTTCAGCACCCTCCCTTGGCAGTCAGATGCCAAGTGGTGAGGAAGTCCAAGCCAGCCAAGTGTAAAGGCCAAGTGGAGAAGGAGTGATGACTGGCTATCTCCTGTGATGCCAGCCATCCTGGCTGAGAACCATACATGAGGAGGAAGAAGCATCTTGGACATTCCAGGCTCAGAGGACAGAAAGTGGAGCAGGAGGACTATCTGGCCGAGCCAGCACTGGTTGCCCATTTATGAGATATAGTAAGAGTGTTGTTGATTCAATCCAGGAAGTTTTGAGGTGGATTTTTGTGCAGCATTAGATAACAGACAGAGCTACTAATATACTTCATCAAGTCACTTCAACTTGCTGACCCAATTCTAATTTGAAAAATGAAGCAATTGAACTAGCTCATTGCAAAGACACACCAACTACCCCAAATTCTGGACATCCATGATTTTTGCATGCGCAAGTATTCTTAATGATAAAAGTGAGAACCTGAGTTCAGAAAGTCTTGAAATTCCATCCTTATTTCCTTTATGATTCTGGTCCTCTCTCACCCATTATTTCTACTACAAATAAGGTTAATAGTGCATGAACTAGATTAAATCAGATAGTCTATGTAAAACATGATTCTGTAACGTGACCATCCATGTTAGTTCTTATTGTTAATGAAACAAGAGAACCCACAGCCTGGCCCCAGAGTTGCCCACTCATCCTTACCAGCAGAGGAAGAGAAAATGCTGCTTGTTAGAGTTCTAAAGAATAATTTTTTGCAGATGTTTTTGAACATGGTAAAATCTCTGTGTTTCCCACCTTAAAAACCTGATAATAATCTTCACACCTCACTCTTTGGAAAGCTTATTAGAAAGTAATGTACTGAGGCATCACATCCCTAGCCCTTCTTAAATTGCCTTTGCTGGAAAATTAGAACAGAGTATCATAACTAATTAAAATTAAACTCTGCCTGAAAACATATTGCTCAAAAGTATTATGTGAGAGTATAGGTATTGTTAAGTAAAAGTTTTAGAACTATGCAGAAAAAAGGACAGAGAGAGAGAGAGAGAAAAAAAAAAAACAGCACAGCTAGGAAAAAAAAAATGAACAAAAAGTCAAAGGACATATGGCTCTGTAGCCTGCCTCAGGTTTGCAAAATGCATTACTTCTTGTAGACACAACTCTCGGTATAAGGTGAATCCTGACCAATTATTCTTATATCCAGAGTCACTTAATTTAAAACAATGTAAATGCAAAGAAAGAAGAAGATAATGTTCCTGACCTCACAGCAACCTCAGTCTGATATTGCTACACCACTTCAAGCTAGTCAAATTTACAATTTAACTGCAGAAAGTTAACCACAAAATTAGAGCAACTCCTCATAGGCCCCAAGGTTAAGCATCAAAGGCAGAAATCCAATTAAAATGTTATTTGGATTTTTAGATAACTCACCATCTAGAAAACTTTCCAGATTAAGAAAAGGATCTGTACCTGAAAGCTAGAGATTATGGCTTGCATAAATCAACAAGTAAAAATCAACAAGTAAAATCAACTGATGTTTATTCATTTATTCAGCAGAGGTTTATATTTTTGCAGATCATATATGCAAGGCATTCTTGTAAGAATTGTAGAGATAAAAGGAAAAAATGACTTCATCCCCAAGCTCAAGAAGCTAATAATTTTTAAAAGGAAGTTAAAGCACTCAAATGTGTATGGTAATAGGTAGGATGCCTGCTACTACTATAAAATTTCAAAAACAGTGAAATTAAAAATTCTAGAATAGAAATGCACACAACATGAGACAGCTGTTTAAGGGAGAAGGAACCCCTTCCAGTTTTAGGGGTGGTGTGGATTGCAAGTACTTTTATAAGCCATCTAACAATTGCATTAGCCTTTGAAGATGCACATACTATTTAAGCACACTGGTATACACATATTCGTGTATTTCAGTCACCCAGGAGATATTTCTGCACACCTACCTAGATTCCAGATATTGACAAATCACTGTTTTCAAGTGGCATCATATCTAATTAGGAAGAAAAAGTGCTTGATTTAAATTAAAATGAAAGTGTAAGGCTGATTTGCAAAAAACAAAAGCAAAAACATCCAATGAACAGGATAGGCAGGGACTTGTGAGTTAGAATATAGAATATCATATTGGTTAATAGTAGGGCCCTAGATATCAGGTTGCCTGGGTTTTAATCCTGAGTCTACCACTTCCTGAGCAAGCTGAATTTCCTCATCTATAAAACAGTGATAATAAAGTAAATAGCTTCTATGCTACGATTGCTGTGAGGATTAGCTACAGTAGTCTCCCCTTGTCTGCAATTTTGCTCATTTTCCATGATTTCAGTTACCTGCAGTCACCCGTGATCCAAAAATAAGTGAGTACAGAACAATAAGATATTAGACAGATAGAGACCACATTCACGTAACTTTTATTACAGTCTATTGTTATAATTAATCTATTTTATTATTAATTATTAATCTCTTACTGTGCCTAATTTATAAATTAAACTTTATCACAGGTATGTGTGTATTGGAAAAAACATAATATATCTGGGGTTCAGTACATCAAAGTTTCAAGCATCCACTGGGGGGGGAGTCTTAGAATGTATCCCCTAAATATAAGAGGGGACTACTGTGATCTAGCGTCTAGCATACAGTAAATACTCAATACTTGCTAAGATTATTCAGATTAGCAAGAAACTAGTCAAGGCTAGAGGTGCTTGGTAGAGCTTCAGGAAAAGAAAGGATTTTGAGCTAAAGTAAGAATAGTATATAGGACTTGATCGGTCTTAAAGGGAGAACTTTGTTACAAACAAGGACACTTGGAGCTGGCCATCAATAAAGCTTCAAAATCTTATTAGCACTATGAGGTTCTCACTCATCTTTGTAATACCTTTGAGATCTACTTTCTTCTTCTTCTTCTTGATGGAAAGTTGGCAGAGAGAATTTCAGAGGCTCATGAAAGTCACAAAGGAAACAAACTTTCTAATCTTAGCATATTTTGCCTTATCCATCATCTGACTAGGGAAATACAGTCTCAATTTTAGTGCAGCAGGTGGACCCCAGGCTAAGTAATCTCTTCTTCCTGTACTATTCGTGATTAGTTTTGTCACTAAGTAACAAAAATAAGGTGAAAAATTAAAAATAAAATAAATAGTGGTGTCTGCACCTTAATTTCCTCTTTGCTACAGCAAAGCTAAAAGTATCTCATGAGAAATTCACTTAAGTCTAGATTTAAGGTTAAAGCTAAAGGTTTTAGCTTCCTAAGTATTTGCAGTTTTCTAACCCATGTTCTGAACATGTGTAACATAATAAAAATGATATCTCAGAGGCTGACTTACTGAATCAATTCCTGGTATCATCTATTCTCATTATCATTAATCTAACTTCTAAACACGTTGGTGCTTTAATTGTATTCTAGAAAATATGACTAAATACACCTTCACAAAACCATTGAAGGTTAGAAGAGTTGTTCAGTGGCCTCATCCTCTCCAGAACCCACAGTTTATTGCTTAATGGAAATACATCATTAATAGAACACCTTTCTTTAGAAGAACTCATCAGATCATTTATTCTCTCAGATGTTTATTTAAGATGTCAGGGCTCATACTTATATCAAACATTTCTTAGAAATATGAAAGGATAGTTTGCCAACCTCTGATCTAACGCAACTCACCTATTTCACATGTAAGGGGATTAAGGCAGAGAAGATAAAAAATGCCATTATTAGCCATTATTAATTGAATATTCATGAGAAGAAAGAGTTCTGTCTGCTTATAGATTTTTATTCTGCTTTGTCCAGGAATCCGCCCTCCACAAGCCTAGCTGGAATCATCTTTTTGAAATGCAGAACAAGACATGCCTTTTCTGGTTTAAATTAAATTCCTTCAACAGAGTTTAAATTCCTTCGACAGATCCCTACTGACTTCCACGTGTAATTCAACCTCCTTGTGTCTTGGGTTGGGCCTGCATCCGTGAGGTTCCTGCTCACTGGCTTCTATTCCACATTCTACTCCACTTTCCAGGCAAACTCTACTGGTCTCCCACCACACGTTAAGCTGCCTGACAATTGTATTGGGCCTATGCTATCCACTTCTGTCTCTCCCATCCCTGGCGTAATGCTTGACACACAGCAGACTCTGAAATAAACAGCTGTGGGATGAATGGATAAATTAAGAAGTCAGATCTGAAAAGAGCCTCAGGGCAAGCTGGACAGAATATCTCCCTGCTTGCCCCCTACCCAAGTTTCCTGGGTCTCACCACGTGTACACGGCAAATGAAAGAGCCATGATCAGAAACCCTTTTCCAGGTGACCATGGCCAGGGTTCCACTGCCTGTTTACCCTAGTAAACAGGGTTCCACTGTTTACTAGCCTGTCTCCCTAGTAACCCACCTCTGTGTTAACATCTGGCTCCTTGGAGGCCCCCATCTATACGGCTAATTGTGCACAAAGATTCCACAGACCAACTTTATACAAGGACGTTGCTATTTTATTATACAGCATGGTTCTCACCAGCTGGTCCCATTCCCTTATGCTTCTTCAACTTCTGAAAGGAATTGGATTCTCCAAATGTGTGATTTGGGGTGAGGAGGCACAGCCTAGAGCTGTAATTTGCTCATTCCTAATTAATTAATTAATTAATTCCTAGTTAATTGTAATTGCTAATTCCTAAGGGCATTATGCTGACTCACACCAAAGGGACATTTTGATACCTATGTGGCACTAACCCCACTGGGAATGCTAATGTGTATTATGTATTTCAGCATCATGTGTAGAATTGCCATCACCAAAAGTTCATGGTCCTCAAGGCAACATGACCTTACTCCACAAAAAGCCTGGCTTGTCAGCACTGTGAGTCCCCACCAGCAGCTTTCCCTTCAGGGAGGTTGTCACAGTTCAGGCCAAGAAGACCATTCTGTGATGTGCTCATGACACACTGGCTTCACTAGGACAGGCAACTTTTTTTTTAACAGGCTACCAATAGGAGGATTGTGCTTCCTTCTGATGTTTGAACTATCTCCACTCAGTTAAATTAACTCATTATGCATAGATTTACTATCCAGATACTTCCTAAATCATCAGTTTGATGTAGAGACTGTCAGAAAGGGAACACTTTTTCTCTACCCTTTCACATTCAGCAGAGGAGGCCTGTAGATTAAAACGACAAAAGACAGATTAGCAAGAGAAAAAGATAAAGTTTATTCCTGTGCATCCAGGAGACCTCACAGAGAATGTGGCTCAAAGAATTAGTTAGAATGCCATTTTAACAAGGGGTGGGAATTAGAATTTCAAGGGACATTCAGGGAGGCTGAGAGGTGGGCAGATTGCTCAAGGTCAGGAGTTCGAAATCAGCCTATGCAAGAAAGAAGGCCCCTTCTCTACTATAAATAAAAAGAAATTAATTGGCCAACTAACATATATAGAAAAATATTAGCAGGGCATGATGGCACATGCCTGTAGTCCCAGCTACCCGGGAGGCTGAGGCAGGAGGATCACTTGAGCCCAGGAGTTTGAGGTTGCTGTGAGCTAGGCTGACGCCACGGCACTCACTCTAGCCTGGGCAACAAAGTGAGACTCTGTTTCAAAAAAAAGAATTTCAAGGGACAATCAATGGTGGGAAATGACTGAGAAACATATGTATGGGGGAAAACTAATGGATGGTAAGGTTTGTCTCAGGGATGTCTATTAATGCAATTTCTCATCTCAGCACAACTTCTCCCCAAGATGACTCCCCCGGTACAGGAAGCTGCCCTTAAAGGGGAATTCATGACAACTGAATCTTCCTGGGAGCTTCTGCTTTTAGGCAGACAAGAAGCAGAGAAAGCTTCCTCCTGCATCTTTGGATTCTCAAATGTCTTCAGTTGAAAATAATCCTTATGCCACGAAGACATTAATATGGACAAGCACAGCTACACACCATAAAGAGGAAAATCAAGGCAAGGAACCCAATAATTATGGGAGATAAAACTTGTCACTGCAGTATCCAAATAAAATGGTAGATGCCTTTGAAGGCCCTAAGTTGATGTGACTAAGTATCCACTCTGTTTTTCACTTAAGCAGAGCCAAGCTACCGAACGTGGAAAGCAGGAACACTCTTAATTGAATGTCTCCTCCCAGAAGATTAAGAATTTCATATTAACTTTTTATCTCCAAATGAATCAATTAACTTCTCAGTACAACCTGTGCCTTTTTTAAATATATAATTTGGCAAATTTATTACCCAATTTAGCAGAGTTGAACTCTTCGACACAGAAGGGCCCCCCGTTAGTTGGTAGCGGCATCCACAACACAATTAGAACCTCGATATATTGAGGCTAATTGATATCTTAGTAAGCACAACAAACACCTGATCTCTTGCGTTATAGGTAGAAAAAGAGCCCCAGGGCAGTTAACCAGCTTGCCCAGGGTCATGTAGCTAGCCAGTGCCTTAACTAGGACCCGAGTCCCCTTCTCAGTCCCACTGAAAGACTTTAAAAGAGGGGCATCTAATGACTTGTAGGTTAATGAATGGAAGTACATTAATCAGATTAATGCAGCAAAGCCCTGGATATTGAGAAAACACAAAATGACTTAGAGCTAATTAAATACAGGGAGAAATTAGAAAATGAGGCTTAAGACAGAATTTTAATAATATTGGGTAGACATCTCGTCTTTGTGCTTTGAAAGCAGCCTGGGCTGTCCTCTATCACAACACGTCGTCACCCTCTCAATTCATTATGGTATGGGTTGAACTACGCGCCCCCAACCCCAAATTCACATACTGGGGTCTACCTCCTGGGACCTCAGAATGTGACCTTGCTTAGAGACAGGCTCTTTACAGAGGTCATTAAGTTAAAGTGAAGTCATTGGAGTGGACCCGGATCCTATGTATGCTCTGTGACTTTGGGAAATGCAGACACAAAGTCATGCATATAGGAAAGGCAATACGGTGACACAGACAGAGAAAATGGCCAAGGAGAGGGGTCTAGAATGGATCCCTCCCTCGTAGCCTCAAGCAGGAACCAATCCTGCAGACGCCTTGACCTCAAACTTCTGACATCCAGAGCTGCGAAACGCTAAATCCTGATTGTTTAAGCCACCCAGTTTGCGATGCTTCGTTATTGCAGCTCTTGCAAACTAACACATTCCATCTATTCAATTTTCTCCCTGTTCCAGCTCCTACTGCCACCCTGCCCTCCACCAACCTAGATGGCGCTGAGTGCTCTTACACTCTCAGAACGTTCCCGTGTCTAACCTGTCTGGGTACTCAGCACTTATAACTAAATTGCCTTACACTTAATTGGGGTTCCTACACGTAAACGAAGCCAACTGCTGTTCACAGCAACTCATTGCTGTGGGTGGAGTCGATAGTATTATTTTTATTTAACTGATGATTCTCAAAGAAGATAATGGCCTTTTTCATGTAAGTTTACAGAGTGTTGTAAAGGAGAGAGATAGGATTCCATTAAAATGCTTCCAACTATAGTAACCCAATGTTTAAAGCCCTAGTTCCTCTTTGTTGAATCTTAAACTGCCTTTAATTCACCATATGCAACTTGAGCGTTCTTTTCAACTAAAACTATTTCTATCAGAGAAAAAACAAAACTGAAAGCCCTCAAAACTGATCACTTAATCAGCTCAGCTTATCAAAAACAAAACCAAAACTCTCTATTAAAACAGGATTTAAAACAATGAATTCAAATTTGCAAAAAAAAAAAAAAAAAAGACCAGTTTGATTTTGACTGATTATGTTAATCAACAAACTACTTAAAATAGTTGGTCTTTTTGAGGTTTTCCAGAGCTCTTTGTCCTTGGAAATCCTGAAATAAACTCACATTTACCAATTTACGATTGTTTTTCAAGAGGGGTATATGCTCACTCTGATTTACAATAATAATAAATGAATAGTCATTTCATCATTTTATATATTATTTTGTTAAACATAAAAAGCTAATATTTCACAAATGCTGGCTACATGGCAGGCATTGTACTGAATGCTTTACTCATCAAGCAGCACAATGACAGAAAAAAAAAAATAAGATGGTTTAATCCAAAGGGCTTAACGGAAGGGAGTTTAATTTCTACACTGTGAGGCAGGGAAAGGGAACCATCAATGGTTGGTGAGGTACCCAAGACCTAGCAAAAGTGGGAAGCTGTTACTTCCTAAGCCTAAAGAGATAAGGAGTTATCATCGGAGCCCAGGAGAAGGGTTGGTTGTGTAACAGAGGGCACCTGATAGGGATTTTAGCCAAAGGGAATGTACACACTGCCAGAGAAGTGGCAAAGCAGAGGCTACTCTCTTCTCAGGACTCTCTATGTCCTGCCCAGTCTACCCAGAAGTCTGAGGGTCTGAGAGCCTAGCTGCTGGCCTCTAAATCTCCAGGAGCCAGGGAAGCAATGAAGACAAGGAGCAATAGCAACAGAGAAAAATCAGGATATTTTATATGCACCACCTTATTGAATCATCCCCAAACTCCATGGTGTATTTTATCAATTTAAAAGCACAAGCTCAGAGAAATTGAAAATGTGCCCATTTTTTTTTTTTCACGAGCAAGTAGAGTGAGGAGTAAAAAAAACAAAAAACAAAATCAACCTCCTTTGGGATCTAATGAAGAAAGAGAAAAGAAAATTATAGTTTTTCAACAAAATATTTCATTTAAAGGAAGGAAGAGGGGGGAGGGCATTATGGGAAACTGTTGGGGAAATTTATCTCAAAGGAATGAATTTTATCTCAAAGGAATTTTTATCTCAAAGATAAGTTTTATCTCAAAGGAATTCATGTTTGGTTCAGAAAGTCTGATGACTTTACTTGGTGTGAGAAAGGAGCAGAGACAATGGGCAGGAGGGTGGGGGGGAAAGTGATGGGCTTGAGAGGAGTAAGTGGGCATTTGTTTATGGTAGATTCATCTACTTTAGTAAAATCACTGTTGATGTCACCTAGGACCTTCATTAAATCTGGATGAACAGACGTAAGTGATACGTTTGGTGTTTTCCTCATGTGAATTGTACTTTTCTCTGCTAAATTCATACGGTTGAAGTAGATAAATTTAAACTGGGGATCCTTTTCAGACCCAGACATCCTTTTGTTGATGTTGATGTTGAAAGATTAAGAAATGAAGCTGGGCATAGTGGCACCTCCCAGAGCCCCACCTATTAAGAAGGCTGAGGCAGGAGGACCCCTTGAGCCCAGGAGTTCAAATCCAGCATAGGCAGCATAGCAAGACCCTGTCTCTAAAAAAAAAAAAAAAAAAAAAAAAATTAAAAAAATTAAATAAATGGTCAACTTAAAAAAATAATAATAACAAATGAGGGACATGGGAGGCTACACATGATAGCTAACTCACTTACAGCACTATATAATTCAGTGAACATTCTAGTGTAGCTGATATGGCTTGATAACCAAAATATCCTTGAGAAAGATATAATCATTTTGCTTGTTATTACTGTGATTTCCCCCTCTTCACTTTACAAATAAAGAAACAAGTTCATGAAGAGAAGTAGAGGAAGTGGGAGGACTAGAAGCAGCCTGTGAGCACCCCAATCTCAAGGAAACCAGTATAAATTGCAGGCTGATGCCTACCTATGATAGCTGTTCTCAGAAGAAACATTGTGAAATCACAGAGAAGCAGCATGTAACACTCGTTGAAGGAGAAGGCAATAGGATGGCAGATTTGACAAGATGGAAGGAATTTGTGGGGAGACATCTACACACAGGGAAGATTAGTAGTATGGAGCACTGGGGCACTGTACTCACCCTACAGGCACTGTGTCCTAGTTGTAAAAGGCTCCCTCCACTGCCATAGGTCTCTGTCTGGATGGACCAGGAAGCTGACTAGAGTTTGCACAGAGTCACTGCACTGGACAACAGGTGCATTGAGGATCTGGTGGCAGCTGATCCTGGGTGGCAGCTGACGCCATTCCTTGCTCTCAGTTGCATGGCGCCAGGACAGCATGGGACTCCACTTTGCAGCAGTTGCCTTCACATTGCACCCACCAGGCTAGGAGGAGTGAACTGAGCAGAAGCTCGTCTGAGACGAGCTCTGTAACTAGAAACAAAGTGCCCTTCCCTTCCAGAGTGGTGGGATTTGAAGAAGTTACCTCGGGCACAATAGGCTCCAACCTTGGAAGCCTTGGGCAACTGCTTCAGTTGGACCTGGGGGCTTAGGGTAACTCCTCAGTCCCTGGACAACTGCAACTGACCCTTGTCTGCATGTCTTGGTATCCGTGGCCCCCGAGCTTGTGGAACAGTCGGCCAGCTGTGCAGGTCTGACTCCGTGCCCCAGGTCTGAGCAGCCCACCAACTGCATGACCCTGCTTCTGGCTCTGATGCTCTTCTCAGAAGTCCTGCTTCTGGCTCTTCCCTAGTCCCAGCTCTGAGGTTCTTGTGCGCATTGGTGTGTAGACATAGTATTTCAGACTTTCGAGGTCCAAGTTAAGGGCTCTGCAAAGTAAAAAACCAAGTCAGGTCACATCTGGGTTGTAGATGAAACAAACAGAAAATTTCACTGAGGCAAATATATGACATGAAGGAAGGGTGAAGTTGGAAAATGGGACAACAGAGAAAGGCAGAAGGACCCAGAGGGCCCAGGAGGGGCAGAGGAATCTGCTGCCTGCGCTGGTGGGTGGGGGAGGGGCTTTGGCCATACTCTCCTCCTATTGTCCCCTCGCCCACCCTCAGAACTCTTTGTGTTTTGGCTCATAATCATAAACCTAACATTTTTTTAACTATTAAAAAAAAAGAACCTTTTTTATGATGTCCCTGTGCTCTCTGTGATGCAGGTCTGGAACTTGAGTCTAGCACGGGCACCATCAGCACTTGGTTTCTTCAGACTTCAGGCAGCCCTGAGTTGAGACAATGGAGGAAACACTCTGTTTCCTGAACAACCACACTGAGCCATGGCTGAGCTTTGGCTAGCTTTTTTTTTTTTTTTCTTTGATACTGAACCCAAATTCACTTTTCTGAGTGGTTTGGAACTGTTCTTCTTTTTGGACTTTTGATACCTGGTGCTGAAACCATTTTTATGGACCCTGTGGAAAAA